ATATATATATATATATATATATATATATATATATATATATACGGTATTAATTTATGCTATGTACATATATATATATATATTTATAATATATATGCATGTGTATATGATATATATGTATATATATATGTATATATATGTATATAACTATTGCGTGTATTCTATATATAATGACATAATATGTTTCTGTGTGCCTGAACTGGTCGATGGTCGTCGTGTCACATGATTGTCGTTCGTGTCGTGTTGTCATGCTGGCCATTTAGACATTTAAACAATTAATTTTTTTCGATAACTCGTTTTGGATTACGTTTGGATCAATACGATATGTTTTATCAGATTTCATAATCTTGAAATATAATAAAGTCGCGAGAAAAGTTTAACGATATACGCAAGTCCAGATTTTGCCAAGTGAATCAAAATTTTTTGTTTTTTCCAAAATATTGAAAGTAAAATGTTATTTAAGAAAGAATGAAAATACAATTATACAAAAAAAAAAGAAAAAAAAACGCGAAAACGATATTTCATACACAGAGAATAGAGAAAAGGAAATGTGAGAGGAAGAAAAAAGCAGTTTCAAAATTTTAAAATAAAGAAATTATTACTTGGCATGATCGGCAGCGTGTCTAAATGTCCATTTAGAAGGTATAAATGTGCCATGAATGACAACACGGTCTTGTTCTCTTCTCTGTTGCTAGATGCCTGCATTGTGCCTGTGTCTGTCCCTGTCTGTCACTTAGACTCTAGACAACAACAACAACAACAACAACCATCACTAATGAACAACCAACAACATCAACTCCAACATCAACAAAACAATCCACCGCATCTAGCGTACCAACAAGCGAATCACCACAGCTACACGACTGTAACCACGTCCAATCAACATGGGCCCACACCCATGGGTGCCCATCAACAAGGTCCCGTACCACCCCACCTTCAACAACAGGTGAGTCCACTGCTCTATCCAGAAGTTTTCACTTTCGCTTTTCGCCATGCTTTTTATCTTCTTGTTCTTGCAAATCTTTCAAACAACTCTTTTCCTCCTTTGTTTCAATTCACTGTTACGCTTTTGTTTCCACTTATTCTTTAGTTTTTGTATTATTTTCCTTTTATAAATGAAAAGAAAAACCCCAAAGAGTCCAATGGCTTTAACAATTTAAGGATTAAAAAAATGATTCAGGTATGTTCTTAATGGCAATTACTTAACAATTCTAGAGGATTGATTAATTAATGATACGATAACGATATTCAATATTTTTTAACACAAATGTTTGATATTTATGATAAGTGCATATATTGTTAGAAGATCACTTAAAATTCGTATATATATTTATATATACAAGCCTATCGATGAGTCTTTTCTCAAGTAATAAATATGTATGATACCTTTCATGAAAATGTTAACACGCTTCTAACAGTAATACGAATCGAGAAATTTTACAATTGTATAAGAAAAAAAAAGAAATTGTAAAATTTTCTTTGAAAAAATCACTATTCAAGGAAATGATTTTCATTTCTTTGGTAAATTATAAAAAAAATTTGAATTTTTTAATATCTTTATATTAATAAAAATAAGTAAATTTGCATTAAAAACATTAAAAACAATAATGTTTGCGTTAAAAAAATCGTAGTATATCGAAGCTTATCATTAAATGCTTTTAATCGATAGACAGCTAAGCATGTATATTAGCGAATACGTAAATTGCACGAATTAAACGTAAATTGCAGTGAATTATGCTTCTTCAGTAATTAAAGATTCCTCGTCTTTCCATTTACCTCTCTTTTTTTCTCCGCTTTTGTCATTATTCATTTTCGCTTCCGTTCCGCACAATTCTTTTTAATACATACTCATTTCAATCTCATATTCAGTAAAATTTCAACGTTTTACAGGTCAACGATCAAAAGTAACAATCAATTAGATTATTAAGCGAATCGCTACCAAAAATCTTATTTAATCGCATATATAGAATACATTCTCATATTTTTGTCTCTTCATTTAGGTAACAATGTATCAACGTATTAGTACAAACGCATTATTTACCATGATAATCATAATAGCAATGTAGTAGGAAGAAGCGAGACATCATTATTATTAAACAATAAATAAGTGTATGAAACAATAAATTTTAATGTTCAGTTAGATAGTACGTTAACGAACAATGTTATCTTTAAAAAAAAAAAAAAATACTGTATCTTTTAGAATAAAAATTTGTTTAAACCTTTCAGGATATCGGGTACTACTTGAAACAATACTACATTTTAACACACTTGCCGGCCCAGAATGTTTGAGAACGTATACGTACCAGATAGATCTAAAATTTTAATGTTTATTCCATTAATTTGTGTCGCTTTAATTTTTAGGGGAAGGGGAGGGGAGGCGTGATCAATCGTGGTAGTAATTTACCAGGAGGTATGCAGGGCCTTGGACAACAACAAGACTATCCGCAACAAAATCAACCGTATCAACAACAACAACAACCGAATCAGCAAAACCAAAATTACCAGCAACAGAACCAAGGATATCAACAGCAAAGTGCAGGATTCGGTCCCCAAGGCCAACAATTCCAACAGCAACAGCCTCAACAGCAGCAACAACAACAACAACCGAATCAACCGTATTCCCAACAGAATCAGGCTTCTTCGATGCAAAGCAGCCAGAGCACGAGTAAACCGATGAGAGGAATACCGACAGTGTTGCCGACACCTCAAGCGAAGGTGCAACCGAATACCACGCAAGGCCAACAACAACAACAGCAGCAGCAACAGCAGCAAAGTACAGGGCCGAATCTGATGCAAAAATTCACGGAGATGGCCGGTGCGAGCGCTGGCGGCGATATCCTGTCGAAAGGGAAGAACTGATTTTCATGAAATTCGGATTAGGCAAGTGAGTGATTACCTTGCCCGTGTCGCCAGCTCCGCTTCTTCTCCATTTCAGCCCTACCATGTTGTCGTGAATTCACGCTGAAAGCTCGAAGGATCAAGAGATTTGTTCATAAATCAGTATTACGGAGAAATGTTCGCGGAGAACAAGCGAGACGTCGCAGGCAGGAACGTACGAATGCGTCTCGTCCGATCAAGTCTTCGCGAATATCCCTGAACAAATACAAATGTGTGCTGCCATTGCTGCTGCTGCTGTTGCTGCTGCTAATAACGATTGTTATTATTTCCCTGCAATCATTGAAAAGATCTATCTATCACCTACGAAGAGACCGATATTTATTAATCTTTCTCGTTGGTGCAACTTCCTATATAGATATTAGTATAATAAAAAAAAAAAAAAAAAAGAAGAAGAATGTTCGCTTGCATTTTGATATCTTTCGCGAAAATTGTTCGAGAAAGTTGTACGATTAATTATTCGTATTCTTCAGAGAATATAAGCAGAGAATATAACTGAAAATAATGAATAATCCTAGTTGAATTTTTTAGATTTTTTTCTTCTTTTTTTTTTCTTCTATCTTCTCGTTTTTACTTCTATCTTCTTCTTTTTCTTTATAGACTATAGAATCGTTTTGATGTCACGTAGTTTAAATGAAATAATAAAATTTTATATCATGATGGTAAATATTCGAATAAGATACAGGGACAGAAATAATCGAATTTTTAGTACGTAATCAGTTCGTTATATAAAAAAGTTACTCGTCAATTAGTTTAATGAACTAATTATTCTTATTATAAGTATAGATTAGATCGTTATATATCGTTAATATTTTATCTATATGTATATGTAAAAAGGTAGTGAGAACTGAAAACAAAAAGGAGGTAGAATTACTTAATTTTATAGTTCAGGTTATATTAGACTTTAGAAGCTATTAAAATCTCGCTTTTAACAGGGTTTTTTTTTTATCATTATTAGACGATTAATCTTCGTAACAAAATATTTTAGAAAAAATCAAATATCAAAACGTGACATACGTACATGACATACGTACGTGATTATTTACAATATCTTATTCTTTATTTATTATCTATTATTTATTTTTTTCTTTCTTCGTTTTTCTTGGCTCGACATATAATTTTCTCTTTCTAAAGTATGTGATCAAATTTTATGTTGATATTAGAGAAATACAAAGAGAAGAAACGAGTAAAAAATGTGATTATAACAATAACCAAAATAGAGTAACGTAATGCAAGTGGATCATTCGTAAAGAATAAACAGGAAAGTAGCTCCTTGTTATACTTGAGCAGGACTTTAAAATAAATAAATCATTGTATAAGACAAAGGTGAAATGACATCAAGAAATCGACAGAAGCATTTAAAATAGGGCGACTCGTGGATCAAATTGAACTACGTCATAAAATATATAAATATATAAATATATATATAAATAAAACAAATAAATAAATAAATTAAATAATATCGCTCCGAGGAAACGGAATATGAATTTGATCGACAAAAGAAAATATTAGGGAAACGAAAAAGGGATATGAGAAATCATAGCATACGTATAACGCCATGTCTTAATTAGATGTTATTATAACAACAAAATGATACAATCCAATGTTGTCAATACGACAATATCTATATACGGCCTGTCTTCTTTACATTTGAAAAATCAATAATTCAGCAAAATTGTATATTTTTCTTACAGACGTCGTGTGACAATATTACATCACACGCAATTCTGATCATTAGAATTTTCTTTATCAATTTAATATTATACTAGTCGATCAAATGAACGACAACGATTTTCTTGTCGTACGACATCTATTTAAAACATGGCATGATACGCAAATAAGATATAAATATATACATATGCATATACATATATGCATGCATACGTATACGTATATATGTATTAATATATATATACGTAAAGGTATATATGCATACAAATATATATACACGTATATATACATATTATATTTAACTATTGCAAAGTGTTGTTACATCGCTACTTGTATCGTATTTTGTACAAAGTATCCTTACCTTCAATTGTTCTTTTTCTTTTTTGCCATAATATATATATATACATATATATACATATATATATATATATATATATATACATATATATAC